AGTCAGAATTCTGCCCGTAATTTCCAAGTTTCTCCATCATAACTCAACTTCTGAGCAATGAAAGTATCATATCCGGAATCAGGATCAAATACTGAGTCGATTGATGTGTGTTTCTATAGTATTCGACTACTTTCATGTTTTATCGAATTTTCACGTTGAAAAAAAAAACTACCGGGATTTTCATCGAAAACTGAAAATCAACTAAACAATTGGAAATGTATATCCATCGACTCAGTATTTGATCCTGATTCCGGATATGATACTTTCATTGCTCAGAAGTTGAGTTATGATGGAGAAACTTGGAAATTACGGGCAGAATTCTGACTTTTTCGGCTCTTATTTAGAAAAAATGAATTTTCTCAGCAACAAAATAAAATTTTAAAAGAAGCGAGTCATACTTTTAAAGCTGAAGTTTCAGCGAATCTAATGGTATCCAAACGAGGACTGTAGTCCTTGATACTAAAAACTAGATAGGTTTACAAAATTCGGTGACCGCCATTTGAGAGCACTAGTTTGGGAGGTCCGTGTTTAACTTTCAACCTTATCGAACCACGTTTTTTTTATTCAGTTTTTGACGTGTAATAAGAAAACAATAATTTGAAACTTACATACTACTCAGCGCGAAAATTTTCGGAAAACGAATGTGAGAGATTTTCGCGCTTTGGTGCTATATCGAGTTTTTTCGATTTTTCGGCATGAAAACAATTTTTTGAAACTTTAAAAAATATATTTTCTTAATTAGCTCAACGAGCTCTATCGAACGATGTATAATAAGTTAAAAAAATGTTGCGCAACTTTTGCATTACGCGCAACCTTAGGCAAAATAAAGCATCGAGACCACAACGAGAGCAGCTAAGATATACATATTCGTGATCAGCGTAAAATTCTCTACACGAGCGGCTAGGTCTCGTCTCTTTTCTAGGGGAGTTACTGAAATACGTTCCCTCGTTAGCTGGGATTGCCCAACTTCGGAAATTTATTCTGCTATATTCTTTTTAAACTCAATGAAATATGAACATCAATATCTGAAATTGACAGAGCTGGCTATTGTCCCACATGTACTGTCGTCGGAATGTACTCGAGAAGGTAGGTACAAGCTTACAGAACGGAAATTTCTGCTCTCAAGAACTTGGCCAAGGTCTTGAATGCAAGTTTCAAGAATCCAAAATCGTGATTTCTTGACGTTTTTTCTAAGATCTTGGATGCAAGAAGTTCCACTAAGGAAGATAATACTATGACCGCTTAACTAATTGAATTTCTTCATTTGTATACTTTGAACGAATTTCTTTTGAAATGAAAATGGCGCGCGTTCAATTATGTATTACCATGTAGTTAATAGTCTTTGCAAGTAAGAAGGAGAGTCGACTTTGTAGATGTATAATGCTACAAGGTGTAGTTTACTATTGCAGTATAAGGTAAGAACACTTCAAACGATCAAAGTCAAAATCGGTGAAATAACTGTCTGTCTTTGATGTTTTTGATGAGAAAAGTATAAATATAACTAGAAAACGAGATACTCTGCATAGCTCACAGTATCGATTCTTTCATCCCACTCATCGACACAAAGTTATTAATGATGTGCTATTAACTTACCTCTTCTCTTTTCCCTCTATTATGCTTAATTTCTCGTTTCTACAGTATTCTTGTATATAATCTGTTTAATTCTTTTGCTTATCTTCTTTTAACTTTTTAATATCTCTTTTCTTATTATGTCACAATCATCAAGTTTCTCCCGATCAACATCATCCCCATTTTCGGATTACCATTCATACCAAGGACTTATCCGTGACTCTCAACAATCCTCATTTACCCAAGTTATTTTCATCTTGTATCCGACAAGCTGAGCCAACTAAATAAGAATTTTCCAACGACTTACAATGGATATTGTTGAATAACACCGTCAATCTTGAAACACTCGTCGTTTGCGAAATACCTCAACTCGGAGAAATCGAACCTCAACTTTGTATCATCAACAAAAACTGATTACTACGATTTAGTTTGTTTGAGCAAACTTAGAGTTCCTCATCAGACAATGATAAGTTGATAAAACTTCAACCATTTGAGATTAATGCGAAAATAATTCTCATGTTTTGTAGTTCGTGAATGCCGCTGTCAAAGCAGTTCTGCCATGTAAAACAGTGATCACCTTAAAATGTCTCTAATTTCCGCTCTCTACAGCTACAATATAGAAGAAATAAACCATATTTTTAATGCATATGCTATAGTAATTGTAGACTTCAAACATCGAAGAATAACTTTTTACAATACTTTTATCCGAAAGTTAGAAACATAATGCGAGAACGAAAAAATGAATGATTTTACTACTTTTTATCCAGGAAAGTGGCATTTCTTTTACGTGCAAGACTTGGTAAAAAAGACAAATATCTATAGTTCGGATAAAAATATCGATCGATTCAAAAAATAGAACTTCTCTTAACACGTTCACTGTTCATGATCATATATGATTCATTTAATTTTTGACCATGGAGTTCATGATACGTATTTCAAATCTTCCCTCACATGTACCTATAATTTATTTTTTCACGTTCACAACAAAAAAATCACATTTAGTCTAATCTTGCAAATGTATCATATCTAATCCCTATGGCCAAAAATTAAATGAATCATATATGATACAGTGAACATGTTAACATGAATGATTCATACGAACGTTGCAGTAAACAAGAGCTCATAGTACTAGAAGATGAATACTTTTTTCATTGAAAGAGTATTCTTGTTCCCTTTATTAAGACTAGAAGAATGCATTTGACTTTTCCTTCTTTCTTCCTTCGAACGCAGATGATTCAATACTTTTGCATAATAATCCTAATTGTAAAATAATAAAATTTTGTTTCTTTTACCAGTGTGTTTTGTGAAAACTTCCTAGGACTTGTCCATTTTCCGAAGAAAAAGGAAGTTTGAAGTATAAAGTTTATATACGAGCATTTTTGTGGTTTGTAGATGGTTTTCTGTCAGTAGCTGTAAACTTTCGAGATGGAATTGTGATTGATCAAATTTCAATATAAATTACTGAAATGGTGTTTACAACTGCTGAATGGATCAGTAACAGATAGTGTATTATTGATCTGATGTTGTTAGATACAAGTTTTAAAAATTATTCGGATATATTATTACATGTTCTATGTTATAGCCCAACAGTTCAATAGGAAGTTTTCACATTTTTGCTTCGTAGAAGTAACGCTGACAGGCTTTCTTTACTAAATTGTTAGATAACCCTGAGGGCCTGAGTAGAGCAAAAGATACGATTGTAGTAAATTCCACAAGTTCTTTCGAATGAAACATACTTCAACTCTCAATTCACTTGCAAAAGATTTCAAGCCAAGGTTGGTACGCCTCCATCTATATTAATCAAACTACTATATATTCACACAAAATTTCAAATCAATAGCTACGATGATTCTTGAGATACTAGGTGATGGGATACTGTTATTTCATAACTTTTAACCTGTGTACAATATTTTTTATCTGACATCGAATAGAAGAAACAAATGGTTCTGTTGGAAGTAAACGATTGTGCGATCTTATTGACACAATCTAGAAAAAAAAATAGAAGAAGTTAAATGTAGAAAAAGACCTTGATCAACGTTCAGAAAAATAAAGAATAAGTACATCAATAAATAATAAGTAAAATGGAGTAAAATCAGACACTGTAAGAATAGATAATAGCAAAAAAAGAAATTTTTTTTCTATTCTTAGAACATTAATAGCGATAATATTTTCCATATCTTTCACGAGCCATTTCGTAGAAGAGAAAATCTACTCTAGTAGATCTTTGTTATTATATTGTATCCGTTTTGGTGGGTGGATGTTTCCCTGTCTCTCGTCTTAATGACGTACTTTTGATAGAGTTCAATAGCAGATATGTATAATTATGTCTGAACAGTTATCACTACTCATATTTAGTTTCTGCTTTGCCAAGAACCTTTATGTTCTAATAAAAATTTTCAAGTATTAATAGAGCAACTGAATTGCATGTCTTTATTAAATGAGATTAGAGATAAATAACAATAAGAATATGTAGCACCACCATACTGTTCGTTTTTCATACTAATTCTAGAAACAACAAAAAAACAGCCAATAGATTAAATTTTTCCTTCATTTTGTTTAACAAATGTTGGTTCATCTGTATTTACCCCATGACATCGTTGTATATGTGTTTTGAGACCTTGTCGTAATTTAAATTTTTTTGGACATTTTAGACATTCAAAACTACGAATAGCCACGTGTACAATGCTATGATGACGATTCAAATTTGATTTATTCGAAAAATCTCGGCCACATTGTAAGCAGGGAAATTTTTTTAAAGTGGAAAAAGAAGATGGTACAGTTGACTCTTTTGTATCCATATTGTCTAATGTTGTTATTGATGTTTTATTATTTGATGTTAACGTTTTTAACGGTCGATGACTATGGTTAGATTTGATATTAAATGGATTTGATAAAATTGTTGGCATAGCACCCATTGGAGTTGAAACGATAGCAATTAAAGCACCGGTATCGAGAAATTGAGCAGGAGATGATTGAGCAGCAAATTTGAGGGGTTTGTAAGGATTTCCACTACCACTAGTTGAAGATGAATATGAATGTTGATCATGTTGATCATGATCATGGTCACCAAACGAAACACTTAACGGTCGATTGTTGGATGTATCCGAACACGATCCATACATGAAACTATGATTTCGTTTTGAGAATGATGATTCACAATTCGAATATGGTGAGTAATTCACAGGCGAAGATGTTGAATTAAAATCTGAAATTTAATAACAACATAGAAATAAAGAATTAGTTATCCTAAGAGAAGTAAAACTTACGACTTTTCTTGTCACTGCATTTCCATAATGATTCAATATTCTAAGAATGAATAGGAGGTTTGATAAAGTAATTTCAAACGGGGTAATATAATACGAATGTCAAAAATGCAGAAAACCATACCTTTTCCGTTTCATCAACATTTATTTTACATGTTATTTTACATTTTCGTCGTTTTGCCCCAACTAATGATGCTGTTGAATTTTCATTATTCAATTTGGGCATTGGCAAACCGTGATGTGTACTGTTGTTGTGGTTATTTTCATATGGTTTCTATTAAGTAAATGTAATTTAAAATTGTAAAACCATAAAATATGTTACTTACGCTATCATGTTCTGTTGTTCGACGTCTGATGGGTGATACCTGCTGATGGTAAAATTGTGCTTGTATAATGTTTACTCTCTTTTGTAAATTATATTCTAATTTTTTCAGTAATACATGTCGTTCATAATTTAATTTTGAATATTCCAATTGAATTTGTTCTAAACGTTTTACTGTTTCACAACAACGGTAACAGACAAATATTGCAGTTGATTTTCTATTTGTTGTACTTAATTGTGTATTTTTTGTCCATAATCGAAAAAATTTTGATTTTGTTGTTATTGCTGTTTTACTTTTTTGTTTTAAACATAAACGTTCAATTATATCAGGTTTTATACATTTTCCACTTCGTTTCACAGATAATAATGAATAACATATCTTACAACGAATATTTTGATAATAATTATCAAATGTCATATTGACATAAGAACTATAAAGTTGATCTTTAAGCCCAAAGTTATATTATTTGGTATGAAAATAAAAATGATGCTGACTATAGTTTGTTTTATTATTTAGACATGATTGTCATATACGGCATATTAGTTGTGTATATACGTACGTGGATGATACATTTAGTATCAAATATCGAAAATGATATTTAGTTGAGTTGTGTGAGCGGAAAAAGAAAAAAAAAAGAAGAATAAACATATGATCACACTAACCTAACAGAAGCTAGAATTTTTTTACTAATCATTGTTGATATGATGTGCTGATGCTTAGAAAAGGAGAGGCGTATTTTCCACTCTCCTTTTTCTCTTTTTTTCTTCTTTTTCCATTCTTGAGTAGTGACTTACATAATATAGCATATACACACAATACAAATGTGTATAACAAAACTCACAATTTTTTTTGGTGTTGGCATCACGTCTTACATCATTAATGTGTATATGTAGATAGAAAAGTTTTGGACGCCATAAATTAGAAAGAGGGTTACTCTAATACTTTCGTCACATCAATCCTTGACGTATATTCAGTATTTTTTACATATTATGGCAATTGTGTGTGTTTCTGCTTCGTATCTCTCCAAAGTCCGAAATGTATGAAATAAGATGACAAACATTCTAGTCGATCAATAAAAATAAAGAAGAACAGGAAGAAGAAAGAAGATTTCATATTTACGAAGAGAAAATGGGGACATTTATTCCAGGATCATATATTTTGCTACTTTGCTTCTGTTATCAGCGTGTTGGTCGACATTATCATCTTCTTTAAAAATAGTCACTTCACCACAGTTTCCTCTGTGTATAATATAAATTTTCTCGTTATCTGAGATTGACAGGCAGTCAAAAACAATTCTCTAAACTGTACAATTTTCAAGAAATGTAGAATAATCATTTTATATCGGATGTTAATACTCAATAATAGTATTCTGCATTTCTCTTATGATTATATACTTTTAATTTTAAAAAATGTTCATTTTTTTGGGAAAAAAAATTATATTGGAAATTAACTTGAAAGACTATAATTCAAAAGTGATTGTTGAAGCTATACGCGAAGAATTTATTCTGCTATATACATATAATATATATATATATATGTATTCTCTTTCTATGTACACATCTTCCTCTATAGTTAATTATAGTGCTTTCATCGGCATTCAAGGATCCATTCTTCTTTCTTTTTCCTCTTCATCTTCATAATCATCTCTTGATCATCTACTAAACGCCAAAAATATTGTAACATTGCCGATATTATTACATGGTGATAAAACAAATGACGTTGAATAAACGACGAGAAAGAGAAAAAAGTGTGAGATCTGCTGCAGAAATTGTATTCTCTATTAAAAAACATTTTTCTTCTTTTATGATGTATATCACAAACTAACTACTTTTGATGATTGACATCATCCATATGAGTGAGAGAAAGAAGAAATGGTGATTTTTGTCGGTAGTATTATATATATATATATCTATGGGTGATGATGATTAACATTAGTATCGTCCATAAACGTAAATTATGTTCGTGGATTTTTTTTAAGTAACAAAAAACAGAATTATATCTGCAATAATAATAATAATAATAATAATAATAATGTAAATGTGAACGAAACAAAAAATATACTACATATACCTCAATTTTCTTTTAGAGACAATAAGAAAAAGGAAAATATGTTATTCCTACGAAATTAGATTACATTTGTGTTCTATTCAATCAAACTAATAGTTGATACATTAGATGTTACTGATTAATGAGATAGACGCACGTATCAAAATATAACTAATCGGAATTTTGTTCAATTTCAGCGTTCAAAGACAATTCTTGAATATACATAAAATATCTATCATGAAAATTAGTTAGTTTGTATGATTTCTAAAAGAAATTTTTAGAACAAAATTTTTCTAATGTTACTTCTCTGTGATGACATACTTGTGTGTATCAGATCAAGCTAAACATATCCTGAATTTATTACGTGACTCGAGTAAATTTTCAATGAAGTATAAAATTTATTAATATTAGAAGAAAATAGCCTAGAAGTGATTATTTTCATACAAGTAAACTTTCATCAGATTTTTTTTTTTTTTTCGAAAAACTAAAATCGCTATAACCATCGTTATAGATCTTTGAAGTTACTTTACGAAAACCGATCCAGTAATAAATATACTATTACTTTACTTTACTTTAAAGTAACATATCATTTGGTGAAAGTTAGTTTCACTCAGCTAACAGGATGTTATCCAACACAATGTTAGACTCCTTTCACATTGTACGTACATCCTCGTTTTCTGCCTTTTCTGTGATGAACAGAGAAGGAAAAAAAAGAAAATATAGACTGCGTGCATTGCTTATTTGATACGGCTCCATCTATTATAAGCTTCATTTATCACAAAATTAAGCTTTTTTATTGTTTCAAACCACTGTATATTTTTCTTTCCCCTCAAGCGATCTTCTCAACGATAATAAATAGACTATAAAATGATATCGTCTTATTAGCTTGAAGTCAGGCGCACATACACGATTTTAGGCAGATTTATTCTTTATTTAACTTTATCGCTGTCGTGTAACTACACTCAATTTATAGTGAGCGCCCGATTTTGATTAAATATTAGAATACTATCACCAATATGCAACGAGCGCTTTTTATTCTCTCACAGCCACGTCTGTGTATTTACATGACGCGAAGTATAGATCAACATCATCCTAATGATTAAATTTCATTTCCTGCAACAGAACTGCGACATAATATATGATTAATTAGGAGTAAGAAGTAATCATCAGCGTTATAATCAATTTTGACTACAAAATAGTTATCCATTATAATAAGAGAAAATAATTTTGTATAAAATCGGAACTGTCAGTGCAGAATGGTGCATTTTTTCCTCAGTTCTACTCAAGTTTCTTCAACGTTTCTTCAAATGTCGTTCTATCCTCTACCATTTATCGATGATATGATGTTGCGTGACTGGTACTGACTTACAGATTGTTTTGAAAATACTGTTAACTGTTGTCAAACCCTCGGTTTAACTCCATTTAAACCAGGTGAGCCGTTCGATAATGGACAACTGGTATATCGGAATATGTGGGCGAGCAATCCATGGTAAGTAGTAGTACATATTACTTAGTGCAATCCTTTATTTCCTTTCCATGTTTCAGGATGTCGTTGGATATGTAAAGAAAGAATTTGTAGACTTGTTCAATTCGCGATGGGACGTTCTTTTCAGGTTCCAAATTGGAGTTGAGCCAGATAGTGGACCCGTTCTTTTGGTCGCAAGGCGTCTATTCACAGAAGTTTCTTCGTCATCGTTGTAGTTTCACAAGTAATTCAACAATCGTCGACTGGAAAAACTTTTTGCGTGACTTTTGAGCCGAACATTTCTTGTGCAATCCAGCTGTTATTGGTGGTGTTGCCATTATCGTCGAAATTGATGAAAGTTCGTGGATAAAGCGGAAGTAATCTTGGCAGAGCAATTGGTTATCAATGGGTTTTCGGTAGTACGGGTCGTGAAACGGGTGCATGTATTGCTGTCACGATTGATCGTCGAGACGCAGCTACTCTTTTACCAATAATAGACGTCTGTTATGCGAGTCTACCGATCAGAGTGCCATGTAGCTCTGTTTCTAGAGTTACCACACAAATACACACGCAGAACGTCTAGAGCATGTGGATGTGTGCGGAAACGAAAACGAACTCAGGGTGAGCTTTTTTAAAAATACCAGTTTCAACGACGGTTATTTACCGGTGGTTCAACAAAATACCGTCGGTAAACCGCACCGCTCGGTATACTGCATGGTTAAGCGACGGTGAACTTATTAGACCGCGGTCTAAGAAAATACCGCACGACACAGGAGCCGTTTTTGTCCATTCACTTAGAGGTGGGACAGTTCCAGTTACCGTTCCTAGTAACTGGAACTGGTGATCAGTTACCGTTCCTAGTAACTGGAACTGGTGATCAGTTACCGTTCCTAGTAACTGGAACTGGTGATCAGTTACCGTTCCTAGTAACTGGAACTGGTGACCAGTTACCGTTCCTAGTAACTGGAACTGGTGATCAGTTAC